ATTCTGAGAAAAAAAGTCAGAATTTAAAAAAAAAAGTCAGAATTCTGAGAAAAAATTCAGAATTCTATGGAAAAAAGTCAGAATTCTGAGATTAAAGTCAGAATTCTGACTTTTTTCCCATACTAAACTGAAATAAAATTTAAAAATCTGTTAACTTTTTTTTTTTTTTCCACTGGCCCTAATCCTCCTCCGTAATCACGAACACAGATGGTTAGAAAATAAGTCTTTATAACCCTGACCTGACTGAGGGGTAACAGCAGCTGCTGCTCTCATCTTTCCATCTTGGAATTGGGTTAACTTTGATACAGATCCTCACTCTGATTATTACTTTCAGTTATTAAAGCATTTCAGTATAAAAATGGTTGGTACTTGGTATTTTTATTTTTACCAGATGCGTACCTCAATGGACAAAAGGGAAAACTCGCCCTAACTTCTGGGTGTTACTGATAAACTAATCAAACAGCAGGACCATTATAGTTGTGTCGAGTTTGATCGTCTTTCCTCATCTTCCATCGTTCGATTCTGTCAACACCTTCCCAGCGAAACAAAATCCGCCCCCCAGGCCTAAGATCCTCATCTCTCCTTCAGTTAGTACCTAAACTACCTCAGCAGAAAACTAATGAACCATTATATTTCCCATTTCTGGGTTAGATTTAGTCTGACAAAATGCACATCATCCTTGGAAGCATTTGCTAAAGGAAAGGGTGTTTTTATATATTGGGTAGAAGGTAAGCTCAAAGGGATACTATTGTCTTTAAAGCAGCACGCTGGTTTCAACCGCCTTTCCAAACCTCACTGATGGCTTTGGAGTCTGTTTGTCTCTTTTACATTTGTTTTGTGGATCTGTAGAAGGCTTATGTCCCTGTCCCTTGAGGCAGCTGCGGGGGTGCCGGGGACATCCGTTCTGGTTTGGTCTAAGCCCGGGCTGCTCTTACCTCTAATCCTGTTTGTAGCTTTCATGGACAGGATCTGGAGGCGTATTGGTGGAAGGTGATGTGTTTGAGGGTTACAGGTTTTCATCGTTGGATTTTGTAAATCATTTGGTTTTGTTGGGTTCCTCAGCGTTGACCCGAAAGCTTCCTTACAGAGGATCAGATGCTGCGATGAGTTAACGGTGGACGGCTCCCTACAGTTGCGGGTGGGTTTTGCAGGGGGTCAGTTCCTGAGAGATTATTAGAAGAAATGAGTTTCCTCTGTAGTGCTCGTCCACACAGACGGGGTGATGTTTCCTCCCCAGGGAAGTCGTTGCTCATGCATTGAAAGAAATGCTCTATGCTTCCTGAAGTCAGATCAGATCTAGAACTTATAAAAGGGTTTATTTATTCCTTCCAATCAAGGAACACTTTGGCATCTCCAGAATGAGCTGCAGTGTGTCCCTGATGAGGAACGTCTGGGTTTACTTCTACGCTAGCAGCCATCACCTGATTTTAGACGAGCAGAAGAAAACAACCAAATAGATGAACGACACTCCAGAGGAAACAGCATTTAAATCAATGTGTTTAAAAATTCACGTTAAAGGACTTTTTATATCCAGAATAATAATTTCCGAGTCATTTATTCCAGTTTTTGTTTGTTTCCCACCTGTATGAACATTAAACCTATAGGATCACAACTATAGTCCTTGTTAAAAAGCAGCTGATTGGCCAAATATGCAGCTTCTGTTTGCTGAAGCTCTAATCAGTGGCTTTAATTTAGCTTAGACGTTTTAAAGGACATCATTATTGTAGGAAGCTGGAGCTGATGGATGAGAGGGAAAAACCGAGGCTAAGCCTGGGCTCCGAGGGGCCGCCCAGTGATTAAAGGATGGGAGGGATGGGCTCCAGCATCTGAGGGACCACTGTCTGTGAATCCATTTAAAAAAAGGAAAAAAATGGGCTGATGAGGGGGGAAAGAGAGAGAAAGGCTCAAAAACAAGAACCCGCTGTCATCGTATCTTAGCAACCATCTCCCAGGTGACACACAGTCTGACATCACTTCCTGTGGATGAGTATTTAGACACTGCATTGAGTCTAAGGAGCTGCACAAGCAGAGACACGTTGTGTAGGTTCAGGCCGTATGTCGCTGTCCTCTCAGAATCTTCGGGTCGGATCAACAGCCGGACCGGGTCTGCCTTCATTTAACTCTAAACCGAATCAAATGCATGTAAGGACACATTAAAGATGCTCACTGCAGGCATATAGAGCAAAGCTGCTGGGTGTGCGCATGCGGCCAGCCTGATTGTACACCATGCCAACTGATACCATCTGGTAGGACTAGTTGGCACAGAGAGGCCTGCTATGGTTCCTCGACATATTGGAGTAGTTAAAATTAACACTGTGACACTATTTGGCAGGAAAAGACACTGAACTATCTATTAGTGGATCTATTTCAGCGTCTCTCTCTCACCTTTTGAGTCCAAACTGCAGCAGTGCAGAGGCTCCTGCGTTTATGTGCGTGAACCCTAAAAGATCAAGTACATCTCCAATTTTATATCCTGTTTTATTCCATCTGTAAAGACTTGAGTTTATTTTTTTTTAAGAAAAAAAGAACATTTGCTCTTTCAGCGGTTACAGTTTCTATTCGCAGAGGTTCAGTCCATTATGTAGCATGAAAGATTAGTTTGCTCACAGTTTGACCATTTCAATTAAGAACCTTTATTTTCCTGCGCCCTGCGAACTCTGGCTGCACAGTACTGCTACAAAAAAGAAAGAAAAAAAAAAAGTAACTTTAACCTTAAAACAAGTCAGGAAACATAATGTATATTTATAACGCCAATGTGGAAGCAAGATGGAAAGATTCAAATAAAGACAAAGGTTCCAGAGTCTGTTTTGGTTCCTAGTCCTTTAGAGAAGATCCCTGATGACGTCTTCATCTGTGATGCTGGGGACCTGGGGCATGCCGGGCTGGGGTATGGGTCCTCGCTGACCTCCAGACATTAGCATCTGACCTGCAGACAGAATTAAGATGTTACCATTTTCAGATGGAAAAGGGAGCAGGCTTTATTTTTACAGATAGCTACTTGGAAGGTGAAACAGAGGAAAGCTGTTATGTAAATGAGATTTATTATTGTCATTTTGCAACAATCCCTGAAGAAACTTTTTCACAATGTAATGGAGTATTGTGTTTTCAGTTTTGGGAAAAGATATTAAATCATCACCATTTCGAGTTAAGGTCTTAATATATGGAAATGTTGAATAAATGCACATTTGCTGGAGAGCTGCATTAACCAATGGGTGCCTGGATTTGGAGTGAAACACAAAATTTATGTGAAAAAACGAATTCCGGGCCGATCCAAATGTGATGTAATGTCCTTAAAACTGTTCAAAATGAGTCTCAGTATTGTGTGTGTGAGCCTCCATTTTCCTGTATGAGTTCCCTGGATTTTCTCCCAGACCTGGTCTAAAGCATCCGCCAACTACTGGACAGTCTGTGGCGCAATGTAACGTCGGTAGATGGGACATGAGACACGATGTCCGAGAGGTAATCAATCAGATTCAGATCTGGGGAATGGGTGGAACAGTCCATAGCTTCAATGCCTTTATCCTGTAGGAACTGCTTACACACTCCAGCCACATGAGGTACGTATAGCATTGTCCTGCATTAGGAGGAACCCAGGACCAAACACACTAACATATAGTTTCATAAAGGATCTGAGGATCTCATCTTGGTACCTAATGGCAGTCATTCTAGCCCTGGTGAGCCCATGGAGGGCTGTGTGGCTCTCCAAAGGAATGCCAGTCCACACCACCACTGACCCACTGCCAAACCGGTCATGCTGATAGATGTTGCAAGCAGCAGATCGCTCTCCATGGTTTCTCCAGTCACGTCTCTTAGATGCGCTCAGTGTGAATCTGCTTTCGTCCGTGAAGAAGAGGCCAGCGGCAAATTTGCCAATTCCTGTTTTCTCTGGCAAATGGCAGGAATACTGCACGGTTTTGGGCTGTGAGCACAACCCCCATCTGTGATTGCTGGGCCCTCATACCATCCTCATGGAGTTGGTTTCTAACCGTTTGTGCAGACACATTCTTTTGCAGAGTTTTGGCAGTGCTCCTCCTGTTCCTCCTTGCACAAAGGGGGAGGGGGCGGTGCTTCTGTTGGGTCGTTGCCCTAAACCACATCTGGTGGAGTACAGGCCTGTCTACTGGTTGTGCCTGACAGAGACAGCAAACCTTCATGCAACAGCTTGCATTGGCGTGCCATTCTGGATGAGCTGCACTACCTGAGCCACTTGTGTGAGTTGTAGAGCGTCTAATCCTACAATGAGTGTGAAAGCACCAGCGTCATTTAAAAGTGACCAAATCATCTGCCAGAAAGCGTAGGTACTGAGTAGTCTGTAGTCCCTCACCTCTTTTATTACACCATCTTGGAGAGAAATATCAGCTGTGCTACTGCCATCAACACCAAAGTTAATAGATCTTGGAGATAGGCTTGTTTTTTCCAGTGTAGTCCTGTTTCTCTGACTGTGACTGGCTGGATGTGCTCTCTTCATCCTCTGACATGGGGGCTGGCTCGGAGCTTATTTGCTTGGCTCTGTGTTTTTTGGAGGGGCCCACCTTTTACAGTTGCCTTTTGTATCTCTGCTTCTGTCTCCTTGAACCCCAGTTGGCTTCGGCAGCTGGCCGCTCACACCGAGCCTGGTTCTGCTAGATTTTCTTCCTGTTAGAGGGAGCTTTTCCTCTCCACTGTTGCTACAAGCAAGCTTAGTGTGAGGGATTGCCTCAATGAGTCGATGCAATCAGCTGGTTTTCCTTAGATAGAAAACTTTGGATCAATTTGACTGTATGATCTGGTGAACTGTAAAGTGCCTTTAGATGACATGTTGTGAAATGGCGCTATAGAAATAAACTGAATTGAATTTATTGAGTGTCCTTTGCTAATTGCCAATAATTTCCACCTTTCATCTTTTCCATTTGCTCAAAAGCATGTGAAGTTGTCAATCAGTGTTGCTTCTTAAGTGGACAGTTTGATTTCACAAAAGCTTGATTTGATTGATTTTATATTGTGCTTTTTACATGTTCCTTTTATATCTTTGAGCAGTGTACATAAATAAAAATAAAAGAAAAGAGTAAATATCTGTTCTAAACCATCAATTTCAGTACAGATTTTTTTTTCAGTGCCTCTATTTTAAGATTTACTTCTTTAGTGTTTTTTTTTTTTAAGGAAAATTTTAAATCAAGAACAAGTTTTTTTTTAACCGTTTACATGTGTTGAAATAAATCAAATTGTGCCACGTCTACAGTTTCGACTAACTAGAAAACATCTCTAAAGAGGATACAAGATGCAGACCGTATCACCTTCAACCAGGAAGCAAACAGAAGGAAAATTGCTTGTTTTTACCTTTGGATATATTAATAGTTTCAGTTCAAACATAATATTGATGTGTTTGGATGATGTGCAAACGTTTATTTTTCAATAATTCAATTAGCAGGTGTATAAACTGTTGGAAAACATTTGCCTCGGCTAAAACCTGTTAGCTGAACAGTTACCTGGCTTTAACCAAAAAGATTCAAAAAATATTTGTTTACTACTTTTTCCAGAGATATGTTTTTTTAACCCTTGAAATAAAAAACAGACCTCTAAAACATGTGTAACATCTTAGGCTCTTTAATCGTCTATTAACAGTTTGCTGACCTGTCATGGGCTGCCTCCACTGGCCTTGCATTTGAGCCCCTCCTCCTGGTGTAGGATGGACCATTTGCTGTCCCAGAGCTTGGTGGGACATCATGTTTGGCATGTGAGACACCGCGCCCTGCTGTGGGGAAGAGCAACATTAGAGCCATACAATTTCAGAAGCTGAATACCGTGAATAAAAAGCGATTCGTTGCTCCAACCGGCTGCTGTTGACTAAGTAGAAGACTCCGAAGCTGCGGATTGGCTCCTGGATTCGGGAGACGGAGTATTGATCCCTGTTGTTGGGCCTGCCCGCCTTGTGCAACCTGATTGGGTGGAGCTCCACTGACCGCTGGCTGCTGATTGGTCGGTCCCGTTGCTCTCATTGTCATCTAAACACATGAAATGCTGGTTAAAGATTCATATAGCATTACAAAAATATCGGCACAGAAATGCAGAGCTCTTATGTGGATTTGGACCTATGATGAAAGGCCGTAGCTTTGTTTTGGTCGCTGTAACCGCAGAAAATCCCGCCTCACAAAGATAGGATGTTATAGATAGGATGAGTCTTGAACTGAATTAACCTGTGTCAAGAGGCACAGATGCACCGACTGATGTAATTGGGAGAGAATACCGCAATTTTTTACATTTTTCAAAATAAAACATCACTTAGACTCTGATCGTCGAGATATATATATATATATATTTACTTTTTTCTGTGCGGCCCGGTACCAAATGACCCACGGACCGGTACCGGTCCGCGGCCCGGTGGTTGGGGACCGCTGCTTTAGAGCCTCTATTTAGTTATATACCCTCTCTAACACACCTAAACCAAATGATACTGGACCTGTGACCCTGACTAAAGTGGACACAGACAAGGACACTTCATGTTCTGACCTGTTTTCTTCACTAACCTTTCTTATTCGCCATGATTCAACTGCTTTAAAACTAAACAAAACAATGAAATGGCTCCTTGTTAAGAAAACGCACCTATACAGAGCTGATTTTTCACTTGCAGTCTGTCGCCTGTTTCATACCAAACTATCTCAGCTGAGGATGATTTAAAAAAATACATTTGTTCTTCTCAGGTTAACCATTCGATAAAGATGTTGTTTTATTTCATGCTGGTTTGGAGGTTAGAGTTTACCAAGACGAACATACAGAGATATTCTCAACTAGAAATCTGTTAAAAAGGTTAAAAAGAATCCATGCTGATCAGAAGCCTTCGCTCATCGCTGCTTTTAATCTACTGCCGTCATGTAGAAGGTACTACTACACAGCCCTTCTAAAAATAGAAAAAAATAAAATAAAATAATAACTTCTTTAACACGTTGAAGGTTCAGTTGTTGTTTTTACTCTTCTGTTTAATAAGTCTGAGCTTTAAATGATTCACTTTGTCTGAGGAAGAATGAAGTTTGAGATCAGTGATAGAAACTAACAGAAAGGATAACATTCTGGATGTCTGAGACTTTTTACCAGAACGACTTCATTTCTGAAAATTTTGTTTTATATTTCTTGTCCAATAAATGTATATACAGCTTGCCATACTGACAGACTGGGGAGAAATCTCTGCCTGTCACTATTGAAGGAAATAAGGCTTATTAGTAAAGGACTGGTGCAATAAAAGGCCTCCCTTACTGTTGACACATCTCCCTTTTATTATGTCCTCAAAGTACCAAAAATAAAAATGGTCTTTTAACAACAATAATAAATATTACCGGAGCAATAAGTTATATTATTTCTAAGCTGCATTAAAACCCTCACATAAAAGTAACTTATATCAAATAGTTTTGTTTTAAAGAAATAAAAACTGCCCCCATCAGAGCCTCATGGAAGTGTATGCCTACAGGTATTACATGCATGAAAGAAGCTGTGAGTCCAGCAGCCTTTAATCTAAGAGTTCATAAAACAGCTCAGCCTGTAGCCAGTCTGCAAGGTGAATAGAAAGTTAAAATCAGGCGTTAGTGGTTTGGGTTCTCACCATGCTGCCCGGCCTTTGCTGCTCCTCCATTATAGAGACCTGACTAACGGGGGGCATGCCCACCACCACAGACTGGATGCAGAACAGATAAAAGAGGAGGAGAGGAGGTGGGAGGAGAAAGAGACACCTGTAAGGCATGCACCCGAGCAGTCAGTGTCCCCAGCAGAGAGTGTAAGGAGGGGGAAGATTTGGACGGACAGAGCGGGTCTGATAACAGAGAACAGCTTTATTTACCTGCGGGACGTTGTTGTGGGAAACCGGAATGGGACCAGGGGGCCGGTTCAGAAAATTCTGGTTGGGAGGGACTTGATTGGGCTGCATTTGAACCCCTGCTCCACCTAACTGCTGTAAGAGCAAAAAAATAAATAAAAAAGTCAGTATTTAATGCACAAAAAACATCTTGTATATCTAGAACTTGACAAAGTTGAACATAATAAAGTAAAAATAAAATGACTCATGGTTACAAGACAACTATTAATTCGTAATTTTGTGAAGAATGGCAAGAAAAGAGTCTTCGCTGAAAGAATGCCACACCAAGTCCAGTTTACAACAAGCTCTGTGGTCAAATAAACATGTGAAAGAAAGTCCTCCCAACAGATTAGACTAACTAAACCTGACCTATCTGCTGGAAAACCATTAATAATCCCGAATAGACTACGCCCATGACGAAGCACAGTGGTGGAAGCATTAAGTTCAAGGGTTAAAAAGTGGCACTTTCTAATGGCTGCAACATATCTTAAAAAAAACAAACAAAAAAAAAAATAGAAGAGAGAAAAATTATACAACACAGATAAATAACAAGAAGAATAAAATTAAACAAACGGAATAAAAAAAAAAATCTGGTTTAACAAAGAAAATCAGATTTCTTTAAAATCAGCAAACTTTCGTTATACGTTTAGCAGAATTTACAGACATTTTTTTTCCAACTTCAGAATTTATGAGTTAAAGGTTTGTTTACAGTTTAGCTGCAGAAGGGAAAAGCCTCTTATCATTATATGATCCTATCATTATTTGATGGTACATTGCAGAATTAAATGTTTTATATAAATAAATAAATAATTGTAATGTGTTTTTATTTAATGAAAAATGTATGCATTTATTGTAAACCTTCCACTGAGGCATTATCAGGCATTCCCAAACTCGGTCCTCAAGGCCCCCTGTCCTGCAGGTTTTAGAGGTTTCCTTGCTCCAGCACAGCTGATTTTAATTGAAAGCTGATTAACAGGCTTTTGGTCTACTGCAATCATTATAACCAGCTGTGCTGAAGCAGAGAAACCTCTAAAATCTGCAGGACAGGGGGCCTTGAGGACCGAGCTTGGGGATGCCTGCATATGATGTATTTTGGCCTTCCATATACCTCTGGAATCACATAAACACCTCGAACCCCAGCTTGAGAAGCTCTGCTGTCACAGCCCCCAGAGATGCCCCCACCTTTCAGCCATTTAAATTTTATCGCTTTTCTTTTTTTTTATTATTTCAATCACTAGTGGGTGCTAACCTGCTTAGCAGTAAACGGTACCTCCTCGTTTACCCCCTGCACACATACACAGTATATCTCATTATTCATTTGAAATACAGTTAGATATTCAGCAAAAAAGATGAATTTTAAAAAATATAAAAACTAAAGTAAACTTTAGAAAAGGTTTGTATGCAATGGGAACAAACTACTTGTGTTCAAATTCTAAAAAAGTCATAACGCGACTATGCCGCCTTTGAACCCCATCAATCCAAAACTGTGCAGATAAATGTTTACGGTGTGGATTTCTTCTAGCTGCGTTGATCAAAACTACCTAAAAGAAAGGAAAAATAAGGAGAGTGAAAGCTGATTTCCTGGGATCCTTTCATGATTTCAAAGCAATGACTGAAACAGAATCAAAACCAATTTTATTGTGGAATACGTTTTAATTATCCAATCGTCTTAAACAAATACAGCCTGTGATGAGAGTCTGGATCTCAGAACATAAACACTGTAGACACCAATTTACAGGTCAGAATCTCCTAAAAGGGATGTGAGGAGAGTTCTACTCTCTCCCTGCAGAAATCCCTTCTTCCTTAAATCCATTAATCACAGTTAGTTTGAATCAATCAATTCTTTTAAATGCAAAGCTCAGTAAAACACTAATACTCAGCATTGGTAGCTGTGTTTAACTGTTGAACTTGCTAATGGAAATTATGTTGCATAATTTTGACGTTAACAGAATATATAAGGGAATATGACTGAAACAAAGTAAGAAATGAGATGCAAAGCTCAAGCTGTAGTTCAGAGTATAATCAGGGGAGATTTCTACCTCTTTTGTCCGGTTTAACCCGGTTTCCTGCACCAGAAATAGAAAGGGTACAGAGAGCTATTCATAAACGCTATCTGAAGTTCTATAAAGGTTTCATGTAATGGAAACAGAACTTTATTTCTTAAAAGCAAGTAAAACTAACACTAAAACTAATATTTTTATACATGCAAAATGAATCTTAAAAGGAAGAACACAGACACCACCCGTCTGCTGTTTCTACACCCTCCTTCTGTTGACATAAAGTATATGTACAGCACATAGATTTTCTTTATGTTAGCAGTGTTGAACGCTTGCTAGGATGCGTTTACACTCATTTTGTCAGACAGCAAATGGAAAGTGAAAAACAAACACTGACAACAAATGAGGATTTAACTCAAAGCCCCACCTGCGAGGTGTTTAACTAAACCTCGACCTCACTCACTAAAATCTGCAGCAGAATCTGGAGAAACAATAAAAAAATCATGTCGAAAATTGCAAATGAATAACAGAAATCAGAGGCTTTCCACAGTTTTTAAAGGTGCATCTTTTACTGCACCTCACTGTGACTAAAGTTATGATTTAATGTTTTATTCACACAAGATCTAGTAGTTCTCATCAGTCTGTCATCAATGGAACGGGGAGAAACAAAAAGGCAAAGAAAACTGATGAAAAATGAGTAAAACATTTGGCTCTGCTAACATAACGATCCAAACTTCCTCCACAGATGACAGGAAATCTACGTTGGTGTTCAGAACCCAACCAGGCTGAAGCCTTTTATGAAGTAAAACCCGCTAAAATTCCAGCTCTGTTTTTCAGAGTGAAAGAATTGCAGACTGAGAGAGTGAAAACCAAACGGCAAACATCTTTTGCAGAAATTTTAAATATTCAGATAGGAGCAGTTTGAGGAACCCTAAGAATGCAATGGTTGCAGAGTCAAGGTGAGGGGCTGTTTGGACACCAGCGGAGTGTGGCTGAGTTGTACAGAATGGGCTCAAAAAATGATTTAATTCCAAATTAAAAGCTAGATTTTTAAAACTTGGACACAACAGTTTCAAAAAAAGTGTCAGATTTTTTTGGCAAAATTTAGACCTTTTGGATGATGTGAAAAAAAGTCATGTAGAAATGGTGCAAATTACTTCAACACTGCAAAAAATGGAAATCTAAAGGAAATAATAAGTATTTTTTTCTTAAAATAAGTGTGTTTTTCCTTAAGGACATAAGTGAGACACTTTGCAAATGGAAAGTGCATTTAAAATAGAAAAAAAAACAAACAATTGAATTGTCTTACTACTCGAATTAAGGGTAAATACATGTAATTTATCTTTTTCTAGATGGCTTTTGCAGCGAAGTCATTTAATGAAACATTACTGGATGTTTTCAGGTTTACTCCAGCTTCCAACCTTGAAACTAATAGAAAACCAGCTTCACAAAAATCTCCAAAAAAATCCATTCTGTGCTCTTAAAAATGAAGAGATCAAACCGCCTGTTTTACTCAGAGTTTAACCACTCTGAATGTGTGTTAAGGTACCATCCAGTGGTGCTTTTTTATTTCACTAAATGATTTAAGCAGACAATAAAAACACAGCTGGGTTATAAATGATTGATTTCCACCACAGGATTTCACAACCAGTTTATACAAAGTGCACAAAAACAAACACAAACAAATTGAGCTTGGTGCGTATTTAGGTTAATGATATCGCAAGAGGCTGAAGAACGGAGCTGATCTGCTGTTACAGGAAGTCATTATGGCTGAAGAAATACTTTTAATAAAGATTTTTGAAGCATTTGCGTTGCAAATGTCTCAACCTGAGACGTTTTCAGAGGAGATCCACTAATAAAAAGTTCTACTTTGCTCAGTATTCGTAGCTATAGACCTACAGGCATTCTAGAGGTCAGACACTGATGCTGGAAACCAAGGCCTGCCTCTTAACGGGCTTTCTTTGTGCCCCGGTGTGCAACCTTCTTACAGCAGGAATGGTCCGCGGGAAATTGTCCAAAACGCTTCTGTTTGATGAAGGGAGTTCCTTTAGCTCTAACTAAGCAGCTGAGGGCAACTACGACTAATCAGCCAAACCCATAGAGTCCTCTAGACAAAACTTTACACCTGCTGGTCTCCTGGTACCTGCCAGGCCCAGGCTCTTTCACTGGTTTCTCAGACATTACTCCAGAGGACCTGAGTCCAGAGAGGCGTTTAGACCATCCATCTTTAAAGACATCGAGGTGCAACACTTTCTGCAGAGGAAGGAAACAATGCTGCCCTTTGCAGGAAAGCTGTAGGTTCTTGATAACCTTCTTAAATGTAAGCATCAGGGTTCCTACAGCATAAGGCAATTTAAATTTAAGACTTTTTAATACCAATTAAGGCCTTAGTTTTATTTTGAAGAATTCAATGCCTTTTAAGACTTTTTAAGGACCCACGGGAACCCTGAGCATGGATTAGGCCAACTTTTAATAACTTGGCTAAAAGTGATCTGTAAGGATCTTTCTTTGAGCTGCAGTGTTGCCAAATCCTCCTGGAATCTGTTCAGCGCCTCACACGTGCCTCTTCCTGGCCAATAAGTGGCGCACTCGCGCTCTGTTCCGTTTGATACCCAGTTCCAGGTCCGCTAATGGTAACCTTAGCTAATATTTAACTTGCTTTTCCAGAAGGAAACAGCATCCCCTGCATGGTTTCTAAACTCCTTCGATTTCTTAAGTTGGCACATTGCTCTAAAGCTTGACTGATGTTTATCTTCAATATCTTTCTTTTTCTTTATTTTGGCCTGAATTTGAGAAATGTGATGCCAAGAGGAAACCATTTCTCGGTTCTGTTATAGAGCTGAAAGGATCTGGCAACTCCTCGCGTCACTTCAATCTACTATTTCTTTTGGTGGAGAATCTCTTGTGCTTATGCTAGCATAGTAACCCAAAGTTTATATTTTTTTTTTATTTTGGACCCATTAAGTTAATAAATTAGTAAAATTTATACTTTTATTCTGCACCACACTAGATGTTCTGCGGATGTATTATTTTTATTAAAAGTTAATAGCTTTGGTAAAAAAATTGCAACTAAAACTTTCAGGAATTACCACGAAAATGAATGAATAATCAGGAAACGTTTAGGAGAAGATAAAGTATAAACTACATCTAAGGTGAGTTCGGTTTATTTACAGCAAAGTCTGTCAGGTTACTTTAAGAATCAAAGTTCTGATTTTTCTAAAATGAAAGTTAACAATATCCAGCTGCTGAAGCTTCCTCTCCACAGCCCTGCAAAAGAGCTTCAATCTGTTTCCACACTCAGGGAGACACAAGGGGAAATGAAAGGCATTTCATCTCCACTCCCAGCTAAAATTATTAACTTTAGACACAGGAAAGCGAGATGGAAAAACACCTTCACTCATCCATCATACTGAATCTGAACAAATCACCCTGGGATGGTGCTAACGGGCACCTCACTCACTGACCAACAACAGCGATGAAACAAACAGCTGTGGGTCTTTTAAGGAAACCAACAGAGGAAAACAAAAAAACTCCTGCTATGATTCATCTCCTGCCTTTAGACCCGGTAATCTGTTCGATCTTCGATGGAGAGTCTGCATCACTTGAAACGCCATAATATTCAATTCTAAAAAAGGAACAAACAGTCATCTGGCTGCTGAAGAAGAACGCCACTCTGAGGGTTCTGCACAGAGAAACCTTAACCACTGGTCCGAATTTAATTTTAATTATGTTCAAATTGCTGTAGCACTTCCTTATTAGCAATGCAGCGCTGAATTTGTGATGATACACATGAGGCAGAGGTAGAGAAAAGTCTTCATTAAAATTTCATGTCATCTGCCTTCCCTACAAGCCCGATACTCATACACACGACTCATGAGTCACATATTGGGCCACTCGCAGAGACGTAAAATTAGCAGGATGGTTAGACAAGAGCCATCATCACCGATGATATCAGAGCGCGAGCGGCAATGTAATCTGAATCGTGTAAACTCGCCAAGCAGCTTTATTTTTAAAGAGCAACATGCTGCTCCCCTGTGCTGTTTAACAGCCGTGCAGCACCTCTCCTCCGCGCGAGAAGCTGGAGCGAAGCCATGTGACGGAAACACGGCTAATCTGAGGGACGAGTTCTAATTCGGACCGTCTGCAGGGATGAAAACGGAAGCGGGTACGCTTTTAGGAAGAGGAGGGTGGCCGTCTGATTTCTGTCCAGGAGGAATGATGTCTGTGCAGCCTGAAAAATTTACACCTCTCTGTTTTAGTCAATGACACATTTAAAGGGTTTAAACTGAGCCCTGCAAAGATGGCAGAGTTTTAAACTCTTTTATAAAAAGGCTTAAGAATTTAAATTATATCAAGAATGAAAATAAAGAAAAAGTCATTTAAAGTTTTCTTATAAAATAGTAAGGAATAGAAAAGGACAAGTGAGGAGCTCATAATCAGGACCTTGTTCCTCAGCTGTTTGAACCAGGTGTGAGAGAGGGGACACCAAGGTGAGATCTAAAGAGGTCATAAGGAAGATCGAAACAATTTAGGAGTCCAAGGTGGGACTTAATGAGGTCTCAAAAGAATTAAAATCAATCGTTTCACTGTAGGGGATAAAAATGGAGGACATTCAAAGCATCTGTCAACATGCCAAAGTCTAAAGACCCGAGCAAATTCACCTGGAGAGAAGATGCTAGAAGAAAAAAAATATTTAGTCATCGCAGCTTATGAGGGTGTAGGCCTGTTCATTAAAAGACAAACTGCATGAGGCATGCAAGAAGGATGAAGACACTAAACAGGGTTCCTACAGCATAAGGCAAGTTAAATTCAAGACGTTTTAAGACTTTTTAATGCCACTTGAAATAAAAATTTAAGACCAAATTCACAAGAAACACAAGAAAAACCTGCTTGCAACAACTTAACCCAAAGGTTTATTTTAACATAAACCACTGCACTAATGTTTCAAATTTTGAAAAGCTTCCCATACAGGAAGAAAGCTAAAAACACACAAATGACAGTTATATTTGAACAATTATTTAACTGAATTCACAAACTTTGTTTTAGCAGGGAACAAAACAAATCAGTTTTAAAGACACAACAAAGCCAGTGCTAAGTCTTTTTTGCAGCTATTTTTCGTTTTATTAGTACGTTAGTTGATTTGGTGATAAGTGGAGGCGTTACAGAGACAAGGGTGGAACAAAACTGAGAAATACCGGCTGTTTCTCTGTAACTCCATTTTGGTGCTTTGTGTGTCGCGCTTCGCATGTGCGACTCCCCTGCCTTAATTCCCATCGTTCCGAGGGAAATGGCGCATCTCCCAAATGTCCCAGCCGCAACGCTTTTATTGGTTCCGCTATCGGTACGGAACCAATAATGCTGAGCCGTTTTTGTTTTTTTTTTTAATAAAAAAAAAAGTTTTCAATTTTAATGTTTTATTTAGACTGCAAAAATAAATCGTAATAAAAATAATCCTATTTATGATGTTTTAAAAAATAAGACCTACGAAAGACTAATTTAAGATATTTTAATACCAATTAAGGCTTTAGTTTTATTTTGAAGAATTTAATGCCTTTTAAGACTTTTTAAGGACCCGCGGGAACCCTGCTAAAGTTCCCACAAGAGAACAGAGGCAGCAGAAGAGCTGCAAATGACACCCCTATCCTGCACTGCTTGGCAAATTCAACTGATTTGTGGAACACAAAAAGCAATTTAATCTTAGCTTTCTCTTAAATTCTGTCAAACAATAGGTAGCCTTAAAGAAGAAAAGGAAATGCTTGGATGATCATTAAGCCCCTGTCATACCTCGGCAGTTTAGCTAGCATATGCCTGACGTAAGAAAAATGTGGCTAAAACGCTGGCATACGTCGGGTAAATTTTGGGTCATTCTGTATAAGTTATGAGCACGCTGGCACACGTCGACATATGGCAAGTATATCGAGAAACTTACGATAACTTAGATATACCGTATGATGGCGTATTGGCAGTGTTTTGGTATAAAAGGGGGTTCACAGGAGGAAATCGCCAGTTCTCCTTCAGACATCATCCCCATCATAGGGTGAGCCAGAAGGTGAGTGTGATGGATCCTCCCTTCGTTCACTATCATTTCTTCGTCTTCTTTTTTTAGGTGGGCGACAAACAGCATCTAGGTTAATACTGCGATCAAATAATTCCTTTTATGCTGGCCGGGCGCATGGCTGCCTCACTCAGGACACTGGCCTTAGTCCTCGACGCAGCTGACCCGGGTTCAAATCTAACCAGTGGTCCTTTGTCGCATGTCTATCTCCCTCTCTCATAACCCCTTTCCTCTCAGCCTACTGTCAAATAAACAAGCCACTAGTGCCGTTAAAAACTCAAGACAAAAGTTCTTGACTGTCTTTGAATACTCTATGTATACAGCATTTGATAAAATACAGAAAGTGTGGCGCATGGCGGCGTTTTAGGCGATTCTGGGACGTCAGACATACGCTGGTTAAATCGTCAAGGTGTGACAGGGGCTTTAGCAATTTCCTTTATTAATCCAAAAAAAACAGCTTTAACTTAAAAATGCCAAAGCATTTGTATTAATAAATTTGCATTTTAATATAGGACAACTTAAAAAATTTTACTTCTTTCCTGGATATCTTTGAAAATGGAATGCTAAATCTTTATTTCCAAAGTAACAAACGGGGAGGTCTTGGAGAATAAAATGAAAATTCAGTTTGGTTTACTTATTGCTTATTTTTGAGCACAAATAAAAAAAAAATATATATAAAATAAATGTCTGACTTTGAAATAAAGTATTTCTGCCAATCCAATCTGTCCAAACCTCCCTTTGAGTCTTTTAAATAAAAAAAAAAAAACAAATAAGCAAAACATTTAATATCCAGTGTGGATGATCTGTTACCCATTTTATTTATGAGTCAAATAAAGCAGCTATGACTTTAAAAATAAAAAACTGAATTTTGGTTAAAACATTTTGCATTTCTAATTCAACATTTCATAATAAATCTTAGTTACTTTTGCTGGGACATCTTTTGAAAATTTTATGTAAAATATTTATATTATTTAAAATATTTTTTATTTTTTTTATTGACCTGTCTTTGAAGAGAAAATGATGAAAATGCAGTTTGGATTATTTTTTTAGTTTTCAGCAAAAAAAAAAAAAATTAGCTTACTTTTGAAAATGATAAAGAATTTGCACTAATCCATTTCAATCATAAAACGGTGACACGTTTGATTCCATAAGGTATCGACCAGAAGTTCTGACATCACAGTCTTTGGACTATTTGGACAGAGGACATGTTTGGTATTAAGCTAACTACAGCTTTCCAGGAAAAGACTCTGATACTAACAGTGAAGCACGGAGGTGGAAGAGTCATGACATGTGGACACTTTGCTGCAGGACCAGCCCATTTTGAGCTTTCCCTTTTATCAGAGGATGTTTGAGGAACATCTGAGATCTAATGACATTGAAGCTGAAGGAAAACTCAGAAAACATCAGTAAATCCGCCAAGGAATGGCAGGATGATACATGGAAGAAACCCTGGAAGATCTTATAGTAGACCAGCAGAAGCGTGTGACCACGGCTAAATCTGCCGCCTTCCACTCACCGCTCTGTGCTGCTGGACCTGCTTGTGGTTGGTGATCACTTGCCGGATGCCGTTGACGAAGCCGCTCTGGTCGTTGGGGATGAGGCCCATGAAGATCTTCTTCTTAGAGGAGTACAGCAGCATCAGCACCCGCACCTCACACGGAGAGGTTGTGTGAGGAAAGTGCACACAGCCTGCCTGTAGAAAGAAAAAAATAAACATGCCTGGAATATAAATACATCTATTCACACCTTTTACCATGTTGTTAAAAAAAAAAAGCTAACTTCTATAAGCGGAGGGATTTTTATTTTACTGTGCTAAACCGAAGAAGGTGGACTGTTCCCTCCCTCTGGGTAGGGGGTCGGTTGCTGTATTCGCCTACTCTGTAGGGAGGCTGGACTCTTAGAGAAAGGGTGAGAAGCTGATTTCTGTCCAGGATGTGTGGAGCTACATTCTTTGTTTTTGTTATGCATCTCTTTATCCAACCATTTATGCCACTGGTGGTCAGCTCTTCTACTTCTTAAATCTGATAATAAATGTACCCATGTCTTTATTAAATGTATAATTGTTCTTTTTTTCTAAATACTACTCTTCAGAACATGAACAGAAGGACGTTTAGTTTGTGTTCCCTTTCAGTCACACTCAGCATCTCCTGTCTTTCCCCAAAGATAAAAGAGAACCAAAAACATTAGAATCTTGGAAAGGCACCTGGCTGCTTCACAAAACGAATACAAACTATATAAATTTATAATGCACCTTCTGTGGAGTACAAATTAAATATACTGGACAGCTTGGCTAAATCCTGCACCTGCCTTGCTTGTTCTCCCTCTAGTAAACCTTTACGCCTTGATTAATGTTTTACAACAACAAATTTCTATCTGAAAAGAAGGGTAATCGAAAATTATAATTTGGATTAAAAACAAGAAGCTTAGAGGGCAAGTAAGCACCTCCGTAGGTTTTAAAACTGGAACAAGGAATCACGTTCAGGCCACCTAGTGGACGGAGGAGGAACCCGATTCATTAGGAACAACAAAATAAAACGCATTTAAGGTTTAACAAGATAGGGAAAAAATGAATACTCACAAAACCATTGGCCATGATTCGATACAGGCCCCTCAGGGACTCCATGTCTTTGTTGGTGAAGAGAAACTGAACCATTCGAGAGTTTCTGAACAGGTGACCTAAAGTCGTCTGAAGGAAAACCAACAGAGCATCATTCAGCATCAACTAACAAGCTTCTTCTGCGTAAAAAGCAGAGCAAGAAGAAGTGAAAATAAAAAGTTCGGCTCACCAGTAACTGCTGTGGGATCAGCTGCATGATGAGCTTCTGGGGCCACTGGTCTGTGTTGCTGCAGAGGAAATGTCACGTTCATCAGAAAATAGAAGGATAGTGTGGGACAGAAGACTGGCTTCGATCTACAGGGCAAGCCTACCGGCAGCCCCCAGTCACTGGTTTAACCCTAGCTTTAGCTACTCACAGATTTTCTCCTTGGTTGACGTGAACTTGGCACGGCAGAGAACGTGTCAGTTTGGTTGAATCCATAGACGAAGCTTTGGGCTTCTGCAGAAGAAAGAAACAAACAGTGAAATGTTTAGTAGGGCTGAGAAATTGAAATTAAACCTAAACCTGATTTGGAGATTGTTCTCCTTTGTATTAGGAGTGGAAGCAGTTGAGAAATGAACTGCAGAACTAAACCCTGGGACTTGGAGAGTCTCTGAGGCGCGGCGGTGAACACTGCTGAGGTAAAAGACATGCAGTTTGTCCAGATCAAACCTTTGTCAGTGACCCCAATCAGGAGAAGCAATTACAAAAAGTCCCAACGGGAGAACCGCCAAGTCTCATCTTCAGGGCATCAATACAGGATAAATGATTAATCAATCACACATTAGTCAGGTCCACTGTACTCAATTACAGATTTATTGCGGTGAAGACAAATGGGTAATTTATTTTAAGTGCTGGCTAAGGCAGAAAGGACGTAGAGCAGAGCTGTAGACAGTAACAAAACAATTCTTCCTGCCCTAAATCAGGGCTTGATTACTAGGAGAGAATCCTACAGAGAGAGCAACCTACACAGATCCCGCTGCGCTGTTGAAGCTGCGCTCTGACAAACATCCAATCCTTTGTTTTTATCAACAATTACTTTCTCCAAAGACTGCAGAGTAATTCATCCCAAATATACAAACTGCCCCCAGCAAATAATCAATTCTAAACAGGAGAGCCAGATGAGTTAACTGGAGGAGGAAATCGTAGATTAAGAGCAATGCTTCACGCTCCCAATTTGACCTGTACGGCTGTTTATGGATTTAGACTTCACGTTAACTTCTCCATCTTATTCCTAACTATTTAACTGGCTTCTATAACTCTGACAAACAGATGAGAGAGGATGAGCCGACAGTCGATGGAGACGATTGATCAGACTCTCGCCGCCCAGTGCGAACATATAGTGTGTCCCTCATGAGTGTCACATAAACGCCATCCGCATCCAACTTCTTGGTTCTGCACAGTAAACTCAATCGATTTGACCTTGTGCTAAACCAGTGAACGCAGGACGGTAAATGATGCGTGATTAATCAAAGTGTACAGTAATCAATAAAGGGGGGATTTATTAGGACTTTGCAGGATGGTGGCTGCAGGACATCAGTGATGATTACATCATGTTTCCCTCCCTATAGCATTCATATTAATCACCAGGGAGTAAAAGATTTAGAAAATCAACTGGAGCAATACTGATTGCTGCCATTAAAGCACCAAATGTAAAAAAAAAAAAAAAAGTTTTTCTACTTTATAAATAATTTGAAAAGATGCATTAGCACCTCAGAACTGATTTCATTTGCATTCATTTAAGTTAAGGAGCGATATCTTTTAACAGCTCATTTCTGTCAATTAAAAGCAATTTTTTTAAACGTATGATTAAAAGTTTAATCAAAATATAAGGTTATTTAA